AGCTTGGGGATATTTCTCTAAAAGTCTAGAAGCAACGACTTTCATTTTGGAAGAAAATCCACTGGACACAATGTAAGCCTGGCCACGACAATACTCCATGTTTAACCCCCACTTCTCAGTTATCGTAGTGTGAAATTTTACAGCCAAAATTTCTGCATCAGCTTCATAAGGCAAGAAGCCCACAAATTCCTCTCTCAGGTTATGAGATTCATCAACAAACCTCACCAACACAGGCAAGTGTTCTTCCCCTGCTATGTCCACTACGTCATCAGTGATGATGGAAAAGAAGTGGGAGTCTCTCACTTCCCTGAGGGTCTCCTCCCGAATGCAGCTCTCACAGATGTCTAGCATCTGTTTCTACAGTGTTTTCGAGCAGAACAATGTGTTAACTGCTGTTGTCTCAAAGCGCTTTCTCAGAACCTCTTCGCCAGAATTCATCCGGCACTCCAGCAGTGTTTGGAAGTTATCCGGAGTAAACAGACCCTCTGGGATTTCATCAGTATCATGCCCATCCAGAGGTATGTTTTGTTTTCCCGTAAGAATCAAAATTTCAAATAAAGATTTTAAGTATTCTTTGTTTTCTTTCTCTTCAAGGGTTAAAGGTAAAATGTCTTCATCCTGTTCTTCACCCCCTTCTGCACTGGGATTCTGAGCGTTGCTGTTGTTTATTTCTTTATATTTTGGTTCCTGTTCAGAAGTTTCATCAATTTTTTTCTGTTTCAGTGTCCTGATTTCATCTTCACTCAATTCTTTTATTCGTTTTCTGTGTCTACTATGTGGATTGTTCAAATGACTGGTAAGATCAAATATTGTTGGTATTGCATTATCTCGAAGAACTGTTCTATAAGGACACTCCCAATGACTTCACAAGTATCTGCTTCAATTAATTTTGAGAAATAAAATAACCCAATCATTCTTTAGTTTTCTGATGCCTCTGCAAAATGTATAGTTCTACAGATCATAGAGGTCTCAAAGTGTTTGGCACATAATCGATAATGTTTATTTAGTTGATCAGGTGTTTTATCTTCTAAGTCCGCTCTCCTATAATTCTCCACCCACTTCTGGCATCTGGCGGGATCCCGCGGGAACCTGAAAAAGGCCAGGTCCGACTGCGTGCTCTTCCTCTTGCGGCTGGGGGCAGCGCAGAAGTTCAGCATTGTCACCCACCCGCCGGCCGGCCCAGCTCTCCCCTCCCCGCCTCCTCAGGGCAGCCCGCCCGCCCGTCGGGGCCGGGGAGGGGAGCCCCGCCGGCCAGCCTGCTCGGCAAGGCCCTTATTTACAGCTTTTAAGTGTTACAAACAATACTTTCATCAGCCCTGCGCATTTTTTTTTTTTTTTTTTGAGAGAGAGAGAGTGAGCGGAGGTGTGTGCATGAGCGTGAGTGAGCTGCGGGTGGGGGCAGAGGGAAAGGGAGAGAGAGAATCTTAAGCAGGACCCATGGCCAGCACAAAGCCCAACACACAGGGGATCAATCCCACAACCCTGAGATCATGACCCGAGCTGCAATCAAGAGTCAGATGTTTAACCAACTGAGCCACCCAGGCACCCCAACCCTGTGCATGTTTTTGGATACACATAAACTTCCATTCCTGTGGAATATATACCTAAGCATGGGATTGTTGAGTCATAGGTTGTTTCTCTTTTGCTCTATTAGATACTGTCCAATCTTTTCCCAATGCAGTTGCTTCAATTATATATTGCATTATATAAGAGTTCCAGTTGCTCCACATTTCCCCAACATTTGCTCAGATTTTATAATTTTTTCAAGCCTGCTGGATGGGTCATTGTATCTCACTGTGGTTTTAATTGCATTTACCTGATTCCTAACAGGATTAAGCACATTTTCATCTTTATTAGTCATTTCGATTTTTTTTGTTATGAAGTCACACGTTAGGTTCTTTACCCATATCTCTATTTGTCTTTTTATTACTAATTGATTAGTACGTTTTATATATGCTGGCTAAAAAGTATTTGCCTGTTATATCCATTTCACATATATTTTACCCCCTCTGTGATTTGCCTTTTTACTTTGTATAGTCTCAGTAGGAAAGGAAGCTAGGAGTTGCAGTACAAATAGTATGGGCCATTTTTCAAAGCAAATAATTCTTAAATTATTTGATTGAGATCATGACCTGAGCCAAAGGTAGATGCTTAACTGACTGAGCCATCCAGGCACTCCAAGGACATTTCTTAAAAATACCTGATCAGTCCTTGCCAAAGCTGGAAGGTCTTCAAAAACAAGGAAAGTCTGAGAAACTGTCACAGATTAGAGGAGGACAAAGGAGACATGACTACATTCAATGTGGTAGCCTGGATTGGACTCTAGAACAGAAGACTGACATGAGTAGAAAAACTGGTGGAATTGGAATAGAGTTTGTAGTTTAGTTAACAGTATCATATGAGTGTTAATTTATTAATTTTGACAAATATACTATGGTTATAAAAAATGTTAACATTAGGGGAAGGCAGTGAAGGATATACAGGAACTTTTTGTGCTATCTTTCTAAATGTTCTATAAATTGAAAATTACCTCATAAGTAAGTTTATTTAAAAAGTTTAAAGCTAACTAATATAATGATAGGTGATGAGTAAGTTCCAAAGACCATAACTGAAGTCACACATACCAAAAGCTGTGGGTATTTTCAGAGCATACTGAGCTAACACTTGAGAGAAGAAGTATTTGAGTTTTGGTTAATCTATGGCTCGGAGGAGATAGAACATTATATTAAATTCCCTAGGGCTCTACATTAAGATCATCTATGATCACAAAGTACCTTATGCTCTGGGCCTGTGTCTGACAACATTACTTGGATAGGCCCGGCTCAACCTGATAGCTTTTGTATCCCTGTCATAGCTAAGAGGGAAAAAATCTTCCATGTCAGTAAAACTATTGAACAAGACCCAGTAGAAAAGGTTGTAAGGTCTGAATCATCTGCAATGGATTCAATGACATAGATTTTGGTAGTACTTAAAGAAGTTCAGAGTCCATGTGTTCACGTGGAAATATTCCCAATTCTCATGTTGATAGTTTAACTATAGAAGAAAAGTGGATGGAGGATGAGTCTGGTGGAGTGGAGGGCACCTGACTTTTAATTGTTTGCTTTGACTCTGGTTCAGCGATTCAAAAACAGAATTGTATCACTGAAGAATTCTGAAATAGAGGTTGTCCTGGGGCCTCCCCAGGATGAAAATCTCAAAGAAAAGAAAAACAACAACAACATAGAGATTTTTTAGGAATCTGTATGTACAATTTTGCTACCAGTGTGAATGAAATAAGCAAAAGGCAGTCAGGTATAACCACCTAGTGCTCAGAAAAACTTTGGCCTCAGTCAAGAAACACTGGCAAGATAACCAGAACAATATCAAAGCCATGACATTGATGAATAGCAACTGCAAAGTCATCACTGTCTTGCAAAAAAAGGATGTGCTCCTGAAGTGAAGTACAACACTTTGGGGAGCAAGAACACTCCCAACAGTTACAGGATGCATGAGAATGCCCATTTTTTGCAATATGTAACAGGAAAAAAACAAAATAAAACAAAACAGTCTCTAGTGATTTGACACTAAGAATTGCCTCAGGGGACACCAGGAAATACCTGAGTTGTGAGCTACATGGTGCCCTTCAACAAATATGAACATATATTAGACAAATCAGCGACATCAGCTCGCTTTGTTCCTTTGGGACAACAAAGCCAGGAGAGGAATAGAGAGAGGAGTGATCATGCCAAAATCAAGTCTTCATGAAATCTGGCATCTCAGGGGAACTCCACAGAGGAGCGCTACATGAAAGGGCTATTCTGTGAACTCTAAGGACTGGGCAAAAGTGCAAGGGGAGTATGACCCAGATGGGTACAGACTGCATCTCTTTTGGATATTAGAGAACTGAAGACTCCTATGGTGGAATATATTTCAGAGAATTAAGAGGTGTGGTTGGGAAAGTAAACTGTGGAACCATCTGGCCAGGTCTCAAATCTGAGCTATTGCCTGAGACTCAAAGACAAATGCCAGCTTTTGGGCTCTGCCGAAATTACAGCTGAAGTCTCCAGAATCAAGATGAACTCTGTCTGGAGGCTAATGTTTGAGAGAGCCACTAATGAAGTGGAAAAATCTCTGGGTGGATGGTCAGCTCCCCACAGGGCATTCTGTAAAATTCATACTGTGATGGCCCTGATATGTCAGAAATGGTGTCACACAAACACCCAGCCAGTGAACACTCTGGAAGAGAGTCTCTAGAAATTTGCCCAGAACAATCAGTGGGTCCCAGGAAATGACTGTCTATTTCTCTACCATCTGGAAATAGATACACCTTTGAGGCTACAAATATTTCCAAGGAACTATAGACATTATTCTGAGGGGAAAAAAGAAGTTGGGATTCTGGTTTTGCTTCAGTGAAAAAGAAACAGATCAGGGCATGTCTGACATAGCGAACTGTACATTACCTACCAGGGCTTCACGAAATACAAACTGACAAACTATTTTTATACCCTGATTTTTTAAAAATTTTCTTCAAATGTTTTATGAGACAGACACTTATTTTTATGTGACAGACAGTGTGACTACTCTCCCTCAATTACTTCCCCATCTTTGTCCCAAAACATTGGAGTTCTTCAAGTATTGAGCTGAGATTACTTTATTCCAGAAAGTGTGGACCTGGTCCCCAGCCTAGAGTTCTGCATGAGGCTGCCTGGTTAATTTTAGATTTTAGAACAGTTTGCTGAAAAGAGATGTGGTTCTTTGGAGAAAGATTTTTTTTTTTTTTCTCTTTGATGAGAGACAGACTTTCAAGGTCTTTTTCTTGAATTCATGCCATTTTGTACATTTGGATGCAAGGTGTGGACACAATGTTTGGAGAAACTTGTAAACATGATGAGAAAGGCAAGAAAATCCGTAAGATATCAACTGCATCTGTGTTAGTCTATTTGAGCTGTTATAACAGAAATACCATAGACTGAGTGACTTAAAAACAACAGAAAATTTCTTGCAGTTCTGGAGGCTGGGAATTCAAAGATCAAGGCACTGGCAGATTTGGTGTCTGGTGAGAGTCTGTTCCCTGGTTCATAGATGGTCTTCTCATTGTGTCCTCACACAGCAGAAAGGGTAAAGGGGCTTCCGGGGTCCCTTTATTTTAAT